CTCTACCTTGTCAACCCCTGCACCTACTTTGAAGGCACTCCCTCTGAATTTTTGCCCCTCTGTGAATTAGCCCCACTCTACCCCCTCCTCTCTCTCTCTAAAGGGTCTTCTTCCCTCCTCCCTTCCATTGCTCTGTACTCGATCTCTAGTCCATTTTTCTTAGGTTCTGAGCAGCTGCCACTGAAACACAAAATTTCCCTCCTCGCTCTCCTCTCTCCCTCTCTCTCTCTCTCTCTCTCTCTCTCTCTCTATCTCTCTCTCTCTCTCATGCATGCCCTTGGCTCGGCCACCTCCCTATCCCTTCACCAAAACAAGAACCTGGGTCCACAATAAACCAGTATCTAACCCATATACGAGGCCATGGAACCTCCCCCAACAACACCAACCAGAGACAACATCTCCGCCATGATCAAGCATGGCTTCTTACCTGACCCACCTTACAAAATTAGGGTTTCACCGACCAGAAGCCCCCCTTCATCCAAATCAAGCCCCACCCTCCTCGAAATGATGTCGAATAACCATGAAGATCCACCCAAATTGCCCGAAAATCCTCACCACAAGTTGCAGGAAAGAGTGGACAAGATCATTTCGGGGTTCACGTTATCGGAATCTGGTGATGTGAAGCTCAAGTTGAGGTCAAAAGAGGGTTTTAGCGTTTCGATGAGGGTTCAGAGGAGGGTTTTGGTGGGAAAAAGTGGGTTTTTTGTGGGGAAATTGCCGGACAAGAAAGCGGGTCATTTGGTGGAGATTGAAGACTGTGATGATGTTGAGGCTTATGTTGAGACTCTGGTTTTAATGCATTCTTCAGAGGATTTGAGGAAGAGGTTAATGAAGGAGGAGTTGCAGAGGGTGTTGGCAGTTCTAAAGGTAATCAAATGGATTTTGTTTCTTTGATTTATTTGTAGATTTTTTTTTTTCATTTCTGTGTTGCTTTAGTATTGGTATGCTGAAAAATGGAGGTTCATGGATCAGTTTGGCGTAGCACGGCATCCGTTCCGTCATTTATCTTCCTTTCATATGAGATTTAGTCTTGCCACCAAATTTGGCAAATTTTAGGAGAAACTTAATCGCAATTCATGAAGTGTGCTCTAAATTTGCGAGGAAGCCATTACGAATTTGAAAGAAACAAGTTTTATGATATTTGGATCCAAATTTTCATTAATTCGCTTTGAAAACCAATTCGCACAGATTGTGCTTGAAATTTTCCAATATTTCCTACTGCATTAGGATTAGTATCCAAATATGGTGTTTGTGGATGCTTTCCAAATTGTGCTTTGCTTTCGAACTGAAATTCAGGCGAACATTCAATGAGTGCAGTGAAGTTTCATGCGATGCTAACACATCTCACCAGCCATCAGATGTCGACAAGAGATGGCTGCTCTTGGTTTTCCTTCTCTCAAAGTATGGCAGAAATTTGATACATTCTGAGCAGAGGAGCCACACACATAACCATCCATTGTTGACATTAGCCTGCTTTGGGGACGTCAGCGCGTTGCAGAGAACTTCTGTGCACTCATTGTATATGAGCCCATAAATCAAACCATTTTCACTTCTATCAGTCCAAACTTTCAGCTGCAGTAGTGGGCTAAATTTGGTGGGTTGCTTCTGAAGCAGTTTTTCAACAAGATCAAATGCTGCCATTTCAATGGCTTTTGAGTGATTCAAATATGGTTGGTATTTTAGCTGAAATATTTGTGAGTCCATTGTTAAAACTGAAACTATATGCATTGCTCTCTGCAATCTGCATCCCAGAACTTCTAAAACAAAAGCTGGAGAACCTAATTACATCCTAAAACGTCTGATGCAAACACGGAAAAGAAAAAGGCATTGTGCTATGGCCCTTTAGGTAGTCGTTATGAAATTATTGTACTCTGATATTTTTATAGTTCAAATCATAACCCTTGCGTCTCTTATCTGCTTCTTAATCACTGGATAATCTGAGCTCGATAGAGTAGAACTGTAATCTACTAACTATTGTGAAATCCAAAATATTAGTAATTTTCCCAGTTCAGTACACTGTTTATAGTCGCAGTGACTAGATTGTTGGGTTTTATCCCCCCTTTTTTCCAGTGGTCTAATACAGAATGATACTTTTTTTCGTCTGGTTTATTTTTGGCATTTTCATGCCCTACAATCGAACTTCTCTTCCAGGTATCAGTTGCCATCATGTTTGAGGCTGGTATAATATCATGCCTGGAGTGCATCGAAGCCATGCCATGGTCTGAGGAAGAAGAAGAAACAGTCATCTCAGTTCTCAATGCGCTCAACCTTCAAGGACCTGCCATCAAAACCCTGGAAAGGGTTTCAGTTCAACCCTCAACCTCTGAAAGCTTTGATGGGGTTTTCCTGCAACTCATGGAAGGTGTGTTACAGGCCAAGGATGAGAAAGCCCGGAGAGAAATGAAGGCCCTCATATCTGCGCTCCTCAAAGAAAACAACACACACAACAAAAACCACAATAGAATCGATATTAGCAAGGAGACTTTATACCACATCTGCCATTGCTGCATTGATTCTCTTTTGAGACATTTCATGGAGGCCACGGCCATGGAAACAAGCGGTCGAGATCGAGGGCTAATCATGGCTGAAATCAGTAGAGAATCAGATAATTTACAGTGGGTTGTTGATATCTTGGTAGATAGGCAAATGGGTGAAGAGTTTGTGAGCTTATGGGCTGATCAAAGTGAGCTTTCGGCTTTGCATTCGAGAATTCCCACTATGTATCGATATGAAATCTCAAAGGTAACCGCTCAGCTCTGTGTAGCCATTGGTAGAGGGCAAATACTAACTTCTAAGGAGGCTAGGTTTTCTCTATTGCAAACATGGCTTGAAGCTTTGTATGATGACTTTGGGTGGATGAGGAGAGCTGGTAAACCCATTGATAAGAAGCTTGTCGAAGATGGCTTGAGCCAAACCGTTCTTACTTTGCCTCTAGCTCAGCAACAGGTGATTGTGGTCAACTGGTTTGATCGATTCTTGAACAATGGTGACGATTATCCTAATTTGAGGCGCGCTTTTGAGGTTTGGTGGAGGAGAGCTTTCGTTAGGAGGTTTGTTGTAGAGGAGATTGAGAATTCGCGGTTGCAGCTTGCTGTGTGTGATTACTCTGGTTGAATATTTGTCTGAGACTCTCAGTTGCACAGAGAGAGACTTTGACGAGAAGCTGTGAAATAAGAAGAATTACTGTGTGAGAGAGTTTTTTTGTAACATGAAGGATGTACAATCAAAAAAATTGAAATGTTTGATGGTGGTTATTTTGTTTTTGTTTTTGGATAATTCTGCAATAGGAATTGAACATGAGATATAGAATTGCTGAGGTAAAACTGCTAATTAGTCAAGCCTAAGCTTGATTCCTAAAGGTAAAGAAGCATTTTGAAAACAACTAATTTGTGCAATTTGAAATCTTCAAAATATTTTCATAAATGGAAAATATTTTAAGACTAATTGAAAATTTTAATTTTTCATCTTAACATAAAAATAAAAAAAATGTAACTAAAATACAAAAGCAAATGACTATTGGGTTGTAACCTTTTACAAAACCAAATGGGTGATCAGTGCAAATCAATTAGCATTGAGGTTTTACCTTTGAATCTTCATTTAACTCAGTTATCACTTCAAAAATTATCCTAAAAAATACCCCAATTGCAACAGAGAACCTTAGATAATTAGAAGAATTTTACTAATTTGACCAACAACCAAGGGCTAGCAATGAGGCTAGGCCACAGGCAGCCTAGGGTCAGCTTGGGTCCCTATAGGCTTGACCCAAGTGCCCAAGTGGGGCTTAATGGAATTTTTAAAAGAGCAAATTACGTACGGACTATATTGAGAGGTCTATTATCATTTGGTGTCCGATATGACCAATGTTACGAGCACCACCCCTCTCTCTTTAAGGCCTTCTCAAAATTCCTCGCACTTCTTTTTTTACAGTCATCTCTCTCTCAAATTCGTCTCCCTTTCCACAGCAAAAAATCATCTTCCTAAACTACACAGTAGAAGTCTAGTGTTTTGTTACAGGGAAATAAATGTCCACGATCCAAAATACATCCTCAACACAACTAACTCATTATATCTCCGAAACCCCACCAATCATCAATCTTCAGTTAAAAACATCAGCCGCATTACTTTCTTATTCTAGTAGAAGCGGAGAAGGAAAGCATCTGCACGGCTTTTAATTTCTTGGAGACACCACCATCTTTGGCCTCGATCAGAAGATAATACTTCATACTAGTGACCACTTGTCTCTCTCCCTTGACAGTCTGAGAGAAAGCCAGTTGAGAATGGTGATCTTGGTTGTATTGTTGGGTTCAACCACAGTACAGAATCCCGGATTAGTTGGGTCTTAATGCGGGATAAATTGGGTCTGGCTGTTAATGCAAAAATTGATATTATTAGATTCTTACCCAGTCAATGTAATCCTGAATTCTGGATTACATTGATTTTGATTTTTGAAAAACCCAATAGTAGCCCATCCATTTTAACTCCATTTCCCTTGCTACTCTCTCTCATTACGCTAAACTCCTCCATTTCCCTTGCTTCTCTCTCATTACGCTAAACTCCTCTGCAATTTTTTCTCTCTCTTACCTCTCTCACAAGAAAATACCTGCAATTTTCCTCTTGGTCTATTGCTTCTTGCCTGCTCTCTCTGTCTTAACGGGGGACTAGCGGACATCTAGCTGCCGTTTTACTGAAAGTTATAACATGGGTTGATATCTCTTTTACTCTTACTTCCAAGCATGAAAACGAAGACGATTTCGCAGGGTGAAATAGAGTGTCTCCTATTACAATTATAATGGATACTGTTATATTGGGGGTTTTAGCACGACAATTTTTTATTTTTTAAAATTCGAAAAACAAATAAATTCATATTTTGAAAAACCGAAATTCTTAAATTTTAGTTTTTGAAAAATCGAAACTTCTAAAAATTTTGTTTTTTCAAAAATCGAAAATGGGCAGTTTAGTATTTTTTTAAAAAATGTTATGAAGTTGAAAAAATGGACTTATATGTAATAACAGAAACCTTCAAGTATTTTCGTATTAACAAGAAATATAACAGATATTTACATCATTTTTCCTTCTAAATATTTTGGTTTTTGAAAAATAAAAAATGGGTAGTTCCATCTGTTTTTAAGAAAAGTCTTCTGAAATTCAGAATATATATATATATATATATATAATAGAAACTAAAAAGTATTTATGTAATAACAGTAAATATAACTAAAATATACGTAATTTTCTTCTTTTTTTTCCCTTAGTTGTCCTCTTATCCGAAAATAACAACACCAGACAAAAGGGCTTTTTGAATTTCAAACGCAAATAGTTGTCCAGAATTTGTATTACCTAAAGGCCTCCTTCTTTGTTAAGTGTAATAAATGAACGTTTCCATAACGATGCAACCTTAAACAATCCAATTAAGGTGCACCTTCAAATTTTATCATAACATATAATTTTGATGTAAAATATTCTTAAGATTATCTCAAAATCTATTTTTATATCTAGTTATAAAACTTTAAACTCCAAAAATAATTAAAATCAAGTAGATCTAAAAAAACATATGAAAATCTTGAAAATAGATGGTCTACATAATGTGTTATAAAATGCATTATTTTTGGGACTCAAAATCCTTTTTTTTTTTCATAGGCATACATCTCGATGTCGAGAAGATCAATTAGAGGGTTTTTCAATATTAAAACAACATTTTCCTATAGATTTTTGAGGTGCAACCGTAATTTTACATTTAAGGTTCCAACCTTGTATAAACACCACCTTAAAAAAAAAACTCTCTCTACATAGTTTGCTAGAAGTGTTGTTACATTATACTATGATACAACTGTTGCATTGGATCATTGCACCTATATATATATATATATATATATATATCAAAAAATAGCTCATAAACAAATCATCCGCAACAAATACAATAATCTCTCCATCAAAGAAAATCATAGGGAATTGTTGGAGATAATAGAGGAAAAGGGAGCCGAACCGGTACCAGAGCAAAGAGAGCAATGCCATTCCTTTCGCTCTTTCTCTCTCCTCTCCCTTGATTTCTCACAGACCAGAGGGAGGGAGGGCGTGACAGAGGTTCATGAGCAAGTTCTGCGTGGAACAACCGTTCAAGTTCAATTATTTATTACAAGGGTGCACTCGGCTGGCATACGGATGCATCCGTAGCTATAGAGGTAGGGTGCGCCTTCGAATTTTATCGTAGGACATAATTTTGATGTAAAATATTTTTAGGATTATTTCAAAATCTATTTTTATATCTAATTATAAAATTTTAAATTTAAAAAATAATTAAAATCAAGTAGATCAATAAACATATGAAAATTTTGAAAATGGACGGTGTAGATAATATGTTGTAAAATGCATTATTTTCTGAGACTTAAGGTCTTTTTATTTTTTATGGTCATACATCTCGATGTCGAAATGATCAATCAAAAGGTTTTTCAACATCAGAACTACATTTTCCAATAGATTTTTTAGGTGCATTCGTAGCTCTACATTATAAGGTTGCAACCTTATATAAAGTTTTTCCTTATTCGGATTCGATTGAGGATAATAGGCATTAGGATTTTCTTGATTTTCCAATTATTTTGGTTTTTTTTTTTTTGACATTTTTCGATAAATTAAATACAAGTAACATTCAGCGTCTAAAAGTCCAATAATGGACGCGAATACAGGTGAAACAGAAAAAATAAGAAATACATATTATAGGTAGAAGGAAAACCACATATTTGTGGAATATAATGAAAATCTTTTGCTTATGAAATAAGCTTATTTTAGAATAGTCCATTCAAGAAAAAGCATACCATGAATCAGTTGAGATATTATTATTGCGGAAATCAACGTAATCTATTTTTTCCTCTCAAAATATTTTTTATTTACAGGTATTTAAAAAAGGTCTCTTAAATGTTTCAATTTCACGGGCATGTATTTTATTTTCCTTTTCTTTTCCAATTTTTTCCAAAATGCCCTTGATCACGTAGGGTTGTAAATCGTCAAAACACTAACCCATTATGCCCGGTCTCTTTTCCTAAATCATGCCTTTGCTAACTGTTCAGAACAAATTTGTACTTAAAAATTATGTCTGAAACCTAAAATTTCGAATGTAGATGTTAGCAAAACATATGTATGAATTCCAAGTTTCGAAAATCTTATTTATTTATTTATTTAAATGTTATGTTTAGAACTCTAAGTTCCGTACCGAAAACTTTGATAATAAAATATAAAAAATAAAAAGAAAATTCTGAACTTAGCCTTCCAAATGTAACCTTAAAATTAAAAGAATTTTCAAAACAAAATTTGTGAACTTTTACCCTTTTTTCTTGCTAAAAGTTCAAAACTCTGAATTGTGGACATAATTTTTAAACAAATAATTTTTTAAAAATTCTAAGTTTGAACTGACAACAAAGAAATAAGCCAAGGCTTTTGAGGAAAGTAAAAAAGGGAAAACGGACATTCATGTAAAATTAAAAATTTGTGGTTAATATCTTTTAAATATCTAAAAAATAAAGGGATATTTACCTTTCATTCCATTATTATGATCTCGTAAGGTTCCATAAAAGATTTGGTAATGGATAAATGAAAACATGGAATAGACAGAAAGTTAGAAAAAAGGTGAATTTATATAAAATTTTATATACTTTAAAGAATTAAAAAAATGTTATGTTCGAGTGCTTTAAAGAGTAATTTATCATTCTACTCAACAAAATTTGGACATTTATACATTTGTTTTGTACATGAATCTTTTTCTATTAAAGATATTTTTGATCATTAGGATAAATGTGATATCATCTACATGATATGTAACATCACCCACTAGAGCATTAAATGCCACACATCAAACTCATGTGGATGACATCACAGTTCTCATAATGACAAAAATAACATAATTGAAAAATTGCTCCATCTACAAAACAAGAGTATATAAGAGTTTCAAATTTGTTGCGTACAATGATAAATTAATTCATAATGTGAGTATCTTGCACATACTATTCTCGAAGTCCCTAGTTGGCATTGAAATTTTCCCAAAATATCCTAGCCATACCCTGGCCGAACCCAAACATTTTTTTTTAGCAAAGAATGCTCCCATATTTTGTTTGAAGAAAATTATGTTCGTTGAACTCAATTCTTTTCTCAAAAAAATAATTAAAAAAAGTTCAAACTCATGTATTTCTTTAAGGAAACAATCTATATAAGGTTGACACTTTAAAAATTAGAATCTCAATGCACCTAAAAACTCCTTCGTAAAAGGCTGTTTTAAGGTTGAAAAAAAATTTAATTGATCATTTCGATATCAAGATGTGTGGATATGAAGAAAAAAAAGATTTCAAGTCCTCAAAATAGTGCATTTTACAACACAGTATTTGGTCCATCAAAATTTTCATGCCTATAGTTGTGATTCAATTTTATGAAAAGTAGTAGTCTGAAAATTAGCCTATTTTAATTGTTCATTCAAGTTTTCGTTAATGAAATCGCGATGTTTTTTAAATGAATGGAATTTCAAAATCATAGCTATCATGGTAAGTCAAGTGAAATAGGCATGCATCACATAGAAAGAGAAAACATCTGAATAGGGTACGAGCATGTCTAAGTACTCAATTTTATTTTAATTTTTCTAAACATCAAACTGAGCCAAAATTTGGACTTCTATTCTTCTCACCCTTAGGAAGCTGCAAAAAAAGTACAAAAAATAATTTGGCCAAATATAATAATCAAAATACAGCCAAGAGCATATTTGAGTATTTCAATTGATTTATTTATTTATTTTGTATGCACTAGATTGAGCTAAAATTCTGAGCTTCTATGTTACATATAAAAAATATAAATATTTTTAAGAATAACCAAAAAACCCCTAAAATTCCGCATCATAGATTATGTAATATATTTCCGATGTCAACCGTCAGATCTTGATTGGATGATTCAAAGCATGTCCGAGTATTTTGATTTTAAATTTTTGTGCATATTGGTTGGATATGAAATTTTGGACATCTATATATCTAAATAACTCACATCCATATAAAAAAAAATATTAAAAAACTTTATGCACAAAATAAAGCGACCTATTTACCGATGAAAATTTGAGGGATAGTTTGGTGATTTTTATTTTTATATAAATTATTTCTTGATACGTTTATAAAATTTCCCAATTTGGCACACATGCCCTCCGAATTTCATTTTGATCTAATTTCCGAAAAAGTAAAACTACTCGAAGTTTTGTACAGATTTTCAAAACAACAAAAAAGTCCAAACAAAAAAGGGAAATCGCATTTCCAATTTTGTGGGTAATTCACTCTTCTATGAGTAAGTGTGGTGTTCTCATTTTTGAGAAATCTGGACTTTTTTTCACTGTTGTATTTCTCATTGTCAAACTGGGAAATACTACAATATTCCAGAAATGTTGTGTTTTTGCAACGAAATTTTTGGCTGGCAAATGACCCCTAATAAGAGGTAAACTAAAGACTTCGTAATAAACATTCAAAAAACATAAAAAATGCGCTCTTGAACCGAGAAATCAAGAACGCTCCATGTTTGATATTTGGAAATTAAACTACAATGAAGAGAAAGAGTAAATAATATCGTAAAATATAATTATATTTGGATTTTTTTTGTAAAAGGTGTGGTTTCTATACGATTGCAACTTTGAAAATCTATTTTTATTCCTAATTATAAAATTTTAAACTCCAAAAATGGTTAAAATCCAATAGATCTATAAACATATGAAAATCTTGAAAATGGACGGTTTAGATGATGTGTTACAAAATACACTATTTCTGCAACTCATAATCTTTTTTATTTTATTTTATTTATATTCATATATCTAGACGTCGAGATGATTAATTAAAAGATTTTTCAACATTAAAACAACCTTTTCCAATTGGATTTTTTAGGCACATCTATAATTCTACATTTGAAAGTTGCAACCTTATATAAGGTGCAGTTTGTATAGAGCCTAGGCTCTAAACAATCAAATTAGAGCCTACCTTCAAATAATGTTGATAAATGTGGTTTCAACACTAGAAATCTTTGTGATAGCAAAAAGCAATATTTTTATATTTATTTATAAAGTTTAAAGCGTCAAAAATAATGTAGATCGACAGATCTATAAAAACTTGAAAATCTTAAATATTGACCGTCCAAATATGTGTTACAAAATATACTATTTCCAAAATTTGAAATGCATTTTTTTTCTCATGTCCATGCATCTTGATGTTGAGATGATCAATTTAAAAAAATATTTGAACATCAAAACAACCTCTTCTAATGAAATTTTTGAGGTGGTCTCAAATTTGATTGTTTAGAGCCTCAGCTCTATATAAACTTTTTCCTTAGTAAAATATGTAGTTTTATAAAAGAAAGTGTTTGGCAATTGAAAAGTATTAGATTATTCACTTCTGGTAATTGATGTGCACCATACTGCTTTCCGTGTAAAACTCACCAACCATTTTATAGAAATAGAAATTTTATCAAAGTAAATGTTGATAAATACTAGTTTTTTTTGTTTTCCCAAACGTAGATACTCCTAACATTCACACGCTAAGAACCAATCTTATAAAAATAGAAACTTGTCAAAATGGCTTGAGAAAGCCGTTTCACTTGTGACATTTAAGAAAGCAGTGAGTGAGAACTTTCTGAAAATTCTTACTGGATAAATGTGCCTTATGTTTGACTTACAATACTTTTGGGAAGCGAAAGATCCCAGTTCCGTCAACTTGCACTCCTACGTTTGTTATGCGGGGGTGGAAACCCAAGTGTAGAATCCGCCCCTTCCATGCAAAAAAATTATCTGTCCCTCACAAACATAAACTTGGTTAGAATGGCAGTTCCCGCTCTTTAGGAGGTATCGAATAAATGACCACTGGAATCGGGAAGCCTCACCATAAGTTGAATGAGATGCAAAGAAGGTAAAAATTTTACATTGCAAAATCCCATAAATCATAACCAATGAACAAAGTAGATCATGCTTGAAGAGGGCAAAATGCAGCCCTCGCCACAGCTAACACACTAGAAGGAGCAAAATACTGACATTTGAGTCCTTGTCAACATATGCCATAGATTAGGATCTTAACCATTAACGTATCCATGAACTACGTATTAGTACATAAATGAGAGAGTAAAGTTTAACTCTGTCCAAGATCGGCTCAATAAGATGGTCTCATCTAAGTGGCTCGGGTGAAACATCTACATTACAGGCTGCCTCATGTATATACCATCCAAAAACAGACTCCATGATTGAAAGGGTAATGGTAGAAATCATACATATAGAGAACTCAAGCTTTGATGTAAAAGGATGGGATATTTTACCGATCAAAACAAAGGGGACAGTGAATGAAAATTTACATGAACCTTTACCATGCTGAAAGATCTTGAGCAACTTGGCATGGCTTCAGAGGACTCTCCAGCACAAAAATAAGCATCTGAAGCTGATATAACTTCGGAAGATGTAGACCAACTCCAATAAGCTTTGCAACCTTGAATAGAACTCAAGCATTTGACCTTGGTTTTGAGAAGGTCTAACAATTTTGGCTCTTCATTGGATATCTCATGGCTTTATCCTCCAATCTCTGTTAGTTATGCTGCTAATGATCTTCATAAGGAAAACTACCTAGTCGGACTTTTTAATAAGACTTAAAATCACACCTGCACTGAGAGCGGTGGCCACAAAACCTAGGGAAGCCTCAGTTGATATATGATACCCTGCAGCATGAATGGAGAAAACAATGACCAAGGAATATTTCCTTCTTGTATAGATGCAAAACAAAGACACTATAATGTCATTCATGTTGGAAATAAAATAATTAAGCATTATTGTGTTCGATGGGCAGAACCGTCTTTTATCTTTGATTAAGGCTTATTTGTCCTATTTCTCTAAGGGCAGTACTGTCCATAGATTGTAATCGGTTAAACATAATATAAATAAGAGGCATGGAGGTCACATTGGACCACCACACCACTCCTCGTCACCTCTTCTCTCTCTCTCCTCTTCCACTTTATCTTCTTTCTTCTCTCTCTCTCTCCTCTTCCACTTTATCTTGTTTCTTCTTTCTCTCTCTCTAGTTCTTATCTACTTGTTCTCTTCTCTTCTTTACAATATTGCGGTTACTCAAGATTATTCTCAAGTTGCTATCAAAGCTAGAAAAAGGTTAATCCTCAAAAAGGTGCGTCGAAATAGTGTTTAGGGCTGACATCATCCCTGAGGTCAGATCATGCCATCATGCCCTAAAAGCCTAGATTTTTGTTGTTTCAGCAGTGACCATGTCAATTGAGGTGAGTTATTTTTATGATTTCTAGATGCAAATAATGTGTTTGGTAGGAAACCCAGATTTTGGATGGATTAGGGTTTGTATACCTCAATCAAGGAAATATTGATAGTGCTATTTTATTTTTATTTTTTTTCCAAGAAAAATAGACCGTGATCAAATCTGAGGGTGTAACCTGATCTCAGTTTTGAGGGTGTAACCCGATCTCAACTATAATAGAGAATGTCTCTACAAACATCAAATATAGAGCCTCTTTGACCCCAATCACCACAGTTGAATTTGATGGCATAAATTATTTAAAATGGGCCAAGTCAGTCAAAATATTTCTTGGTGGAAAAAAAGAATTGGGTTATATTGATGGCCGTGTGGAAAAACTAGATCTCAAGGATGCTAAATATGCAGACTAAGGCTGATGATATCGGAATTATGAATTGGATATTGTCTTCTATGTAACCCAATCAAAGTTGCACCTTTATGAACTGCAATATCGCTATGAAATTATGGGATGCAGTTTCTAAGGTCTATTCCCAAAAAAATAATATTGTGAGGCTTCAGGAATTGAAGCAGCAAATCAATCATTTTAAACAAGGTGACTTGTCAATGGGAGACTATTATGCTCATCTTTGTTGTTTTTGGGATGAAATAAGCCATCACCAGCCCATACAATGTTCATCTTGTGCAAAGGAGCAAAGAGAGGGAATAGAACAAAGGAAGATTTTCAATCTTTTGAGGGGAGTTAATGTGGAATATGAATCATTTAGGGCAATGTTCTTGGTGGAGAGATGTTTCCATCACTTGGTACTATTTTCTCCCTTCTTCAGCATGAAAAACTCATCTATAGGTGAAACTGAAAATGATCTGCCCTATTCTCAAGTTCTAGTGGTAATCGAGGTGGAGGAAGTTTTTGGAACCAGGGTGGAGGCCGTGGTGGTGGATGTGGCCACAAAAGCCCCACATTTAATGAGAATGGCAAATTGAAGTGCACCCGTTGTGGGACGACTCCACACACGTTGGATATATGTTGGGATCTGGTTGGATGCCCAAGGAAAAACTTTTCTCAGGCAGCAACTATCAATGACAGTGCTGCACTCAGCTATTCAAGGGCAGAAAGCTACTACCTTCTTTGAACTTGAAGAAGAGTTCGTAACTATTCCTAAAAGATAGCTCCTAGATCTCAAGCAGCAAGACTCCATTTGAGATCCTCCTTCCTCTAAGTCTCATATTGCATCTGCATCAGCCCATTATGTCTATATAAATAAATCTGAAACCCCTTGGATTATTGACTCTGGAGCTACTGGACATATGATGGGTATGGCTGATTTATTCTCCTCTTATATTCCTTGTTCTAGGCATGTATATGTTAAAATAGCATATGGTTTTCCAATCACGGGAAGGGGATCTATATACGTTACTCCTTCTGTTAACTTGTCATCCACCTTGCATGTTCCCAATCTTTTTAGTAACCTCCTATCAATCAGTAATCTCACAAAGACCTTAGATTGCAGTATAAGCTTTTCCCTTCTCATTATGTATTCTAGGACTTGATGATGGGGAAGACATTGGGGCATCATCGTGAAAATGGAGGGTTGTACCTTTTGGAGACTCCTGATTGAGCCTTGACTGTTGCAACTACATCTTCGATTGCTAATAAATAAAGAGTGTATTTGTGGCATACCCGCCTTGGTCATGCATATTTTACTTTGCGTTTTTTATTTTCCAAAACGTTTTTCTCTTGGTCAGTTCAATTGCAAGGTGACATCTGTGAGTTGTCAAAACATTGTAAAACTTCATTTCTATTAGTATTAACAAAATGAGTGATGTCCCATTCTCTCTTATACACTCTGATATGTGGGGTCCTTCTTCAGCTGCCCCTCTGCTTGGATTCCGTTTCTTTGTTGTGGATGATTGCTCACAACTATCTATCTAATGAAACACAAAGATGAAGTTGCCAATCTATTCCAAGTTTATCACAAAATGGTTAAACCTCAGTGCGATGCAGAAATTAAAATATTCCGTTGCAACAATGGGGGTGAGTGTGTGTCAAATCAACTCAAAGATCATCTTCTTGATAATGGGATTGAGTTCCAAACAACGTGTCCATATACACCTCAACAGAATGGTATTGCTGAGAGGAAAAACAGGCATTTGTTTGAAGTCACCCGAGTTCTTTTATTAGCAATGAAGGTCCCAAAAATTTTCTGCTCTGAAGCAATTCTCACTGCTGCCTTTTTAATAAATCACATGCTCACTCGTGTTCCTAAGAAAAAATCTCCCACTGAAATTGTTTATCCTGACTCATCCATGTTTCTTGCACTTCCCATGGTGTTTGGTTGTGTATGTTTTGTCCACATCCTTGGTCCAAAGAGGGACAAGCTTGATGCTAAAGCTTTCAAATGTATTTTCCTAAGATATCCATCTTATCAAAAGGGATACAAGTATAATGATCCTATTAACAACGTCTGCTATGTCTCCATGGTTGTTACTTTCTTTTAATCTATTCCGTACTTCTCATCTATAAGTCATGAGTGCTCTCCTCAGGGGGAGAATAAGATACAATTTAGTGAAGAGAGCACATTAGTGGTTGCCCTTCCTATTCCCACACCATTTTAATCTGAAGAGAAAAGTGCGCATTCAAAGGAGCTGAAGACATATACCAAGAGGAAGAAAATGGTACAACCCAACGTTCTAAACAACTATGCCTCAAATGCTAACCCGAAATTAGGAACTATTCCCAACTCAGGTAATTCTTCCGCCCTTTCAGAAAATCCTAAGATACACTTACCTATTTTTATTCGCAAGGTTACACGTTCTTGCACTCAACATCCTATAGAAAACTTGATATCCTATAATTCTGTGTCCTCTCATCATGCCTTCAAATCAGCTCTATCTTTTGTTTGAGTACCCTCCTGTGTTGCAAAGGCGCCAAGGGCGAGCACTTGAGCAAATAACGCACGGGAAATCAACAACCTTCGTAAAAGGAAGAAGTTCATAGGATGTCAGTGGACATCTACTATAAAATACAATGTTGATGGCACCATTCAAAGGTATAAAGCTAAATTGGTTGCAAAAGGTTTTACTCGGACTCCTGATATAAACTACCAAGACACTTTTGCTCCTATGGCCAAGAGGATCATTCTTTCACTAGCTGCTAATAAATCTCGGCAACTCTACCAGCAAGATGTAAAGAAAGTATTCTTGCATGGAGATATTTAAAAAGAAATCTATATGGCACTAGTTTTCAGATTAAGGGGGAGACATGATAGGTGTGCAAATTAAAGAAGGCAATATATGGAATGGACTTAAACAATCTCCTAAAGCATGGTTTAAAAAATTCAGTGTGGCACTGCAAAAGTTTAGGTTTAAAAGAAGCCAATCATACGCTCTTTGTGAAGAAAAATAGTGCTGGAATAACAACCCTTATAGTGTATGTAAATGATTTTGTTGTGAAAAGGATCATGTCAAGGGCATTAAGGATCTTAAATCTTATTTAAGCAATATATTTAGGTCCCTCTTCAGTATTTTTTGGGAATTGAAGTGGCAAGATCAAAGAAAGGGAAAGCCATCTCCCGAAAAAAAAATGTGTTAGACTTGTTACAACAAACGGGGATGTTGGGATCTAGAACAGCGGATACTCCTATAGAAATCAACCATAAACTTCATGGAAAAAAGGGAGAGTTGCTTAAAGATCCTCATCAATATCAACAAATAGTGGGCAAACATATATACCCATGATCACTTGACCAAACATCTCTTATGCGCTTAGCGTAGTCAGGAAATTTATGCATGTACGGCATAAACCACATCTTAATACAGCGTATTAAATATTAAGATATCTCAAATCTGATCCAGGGAAAGGGATATTATTTTTCAATCAAGGGATTCTGATGTTGCTATTTACACAATGTGGATTGGGCTGGTTGCCAAACACAAAGATGATCTACAACTGGCTAGAAACAAAATATGGCAGCAAGGGCAAGTTCTGTGGATCAAAAGTGTTCTTTTTTATTTGGGAGTTAAAGTTACGCTTCCCTTTGACTGAATGAAGCAGTCATTCATATTACCAAAAATCATGTGTTTCATGAAAGGACTTAACACATTGAAGTAGGTTGTCACTTCATCAGAAGGTTGTTGCAAGATCTTCATACTCCTCATGTGAAAGTCTAAAGATCAAATTGCAGATATTTTAATAAAGTAGTTGGACGAGACAGAACACATGATATCACAAGCAAGCTGGGCATGGTTGATTTCTATGCAACAGCATGCGGGGGACTGTTAGAAATAACATAGTTAAGCTTATTGTATTTGATGGGCAGAACTGTCTTTTTTGTTTAGGACTTATTTGTCCTATTTCTCTAAGTAAGGGCAGTATTGTCCATAGAATGTAATTAGGTTAAATGTAATATAAATAAGAGGCATGGAGGTCACATTGGACCACCATGCCACTCTTCTCTTCTGTTCTCTTCTCTCTCTATCTCTCACACATCTCTATCTATCTCTCTCTCTCTCTCTCTCTCTCTCTCTCTCTCTCTCCTCTTCCTCTTTATCTTCTTTCTTCTCTTTTCTCTTTAGATCCTATCTAATTGTTCTCTTCTCTTGTTTACACTCTTGTGGCTACTCAATATTATTTTCAACTATTCATAGTGTACACACAAAAAACAGAAATACATATAGCTGTACATTTTCATGACAATGATTGTCTAATATCGATTAAAATGAAGCACGATGAAAATGGAATATTGATACCCACCAAAGAAATCTAGTATCATCTTGCTACCAATGAAACCCAGAACAACACCTATGGAAGGCTGCAAAAACAGGCAAAGAATGTCTCACTAGATACACTCATTAGGTATAAAACAGATGTCGGAAGGAAAACCGCTTCCAAAAGAAGAGGCCAGATGATGCAATACTCAATGGTTTACAATTACATTAACTATGATTCCCAATAGCAAAATTACAGTCTATTGGAACCAAACAAAAAAGAAACAAAATACGTTTCATTAGAGATGACATGATCCCTCTCGAATAGCCTTGAAACATCTTAATATTCATTCTAGTGAGAGTTCAATGAAGCAATGTTTATGCATCTAATGTCAAAATGCTAGTTTATGTCAATAATGATTTAAAGTTTACAGTACTCAAATGTAAATTTCAGAAGAACTGTAAAATGGAATGCAATAAATCTGTTTAACATTGCAAATACCATGACATAAGCATTCTATTCTGGCAACAAGAAAAACTGATCTGCTGGGTACTCACACATTTATAAATATATGAAATTTGGAATTCCTTTGCATTATTATCTTTTGAAAGGTGTGCTTCCTGTAGGTTGTTGTCATTTTAACATATAAATGTGCATCAAAAGGATGTAATCCCTTGTTCTGATTATTGAGGCTAAGGCACTAGAGCCACATTTGGGAGATCTAACCTATCAATTATTGGACACTAAAAGGGTTATTGTTTTTGAAACCAGAGCAAGCAAGTCAATGATTCCGGCATTAGGAATTTGAGTCTCAAACATGTCTCTCATATGATCACCACTTTCCTTGTTTTTGTTCAAAACATCATATTTGGCATATTGGTTGTAATCTTGCTCAAATCTGACTAATGTTCATGAGAATTTCAAGAACTGGATTTTGGGATAAGAGTCAATGCTATGCAATTTTCACATGACTGGGCTCTCATGCCAGGTGGAATCATAGTAAACAAGAATATTTAATCTGGATGGCCGATGAAAACTTGAAATGAGGAGGATTGAAGAATTAAAAGGTTTTCAATTTTCTAGGAAGATATTTCCAAAATGATTAGATCACAATGTGTGCAGCCATGAGAATTCCCAGTATGAGATTTGCAGTTACAAGCCTAAATGTCAATGTGGTCTAGCTTAGAGTTAAAAATTTTTCTTGCTTTCATTTATTTATACCGGTGAGAACACTTATAGCTGTCCAAACTACAAAACTCAAAAAAATAAAACCTAATACACTCTAGGATCCTTACCTGCATTCCATTACAAAGAACTTTTGTTCAACTAAGATCAAGACAATGCACAAGAATGACTCATAAAAAATTGGAACCGTAAATATCTGAATACCTTGCCAAGGATTAGCTCCAAGGACTTGTTACACTCCACTCCAAATCTTCAACACCAATGGCACACGTGATGGAGGTCATTCACTTTGTCTCACACAATATGCGAAATTCTAACATGAGAGCATGGCCAAGGTCCTTTCAATGGGATAGGGAAACCTCTACCTAAGTCACACTAATTTAACTGTGCCACCCCTGTGGTCTTACTTGGAGCATGGCACCCCTTAGAACCCTAGGAGAAGGAACATTGAGGGAGGGAACATGCTGCCCTAGGGAGGAGGAGAAGGAGAGAGAGAGAGAGGCCATCCCCTTAAGGGGCATTTATAGTTGCAAACTAGGGTTTCTAGGTCAAGGGTTTGCCATCTTTTGAGATTTGATCTTAACAATCGATCTAAGGAGATCTGTGGGGTGAAAAGATCTCATCTACCATTCCCTAAATCAGCCGTCACGATTAAAGAGAAGGTTCTAGAACCATTATCCCTCAGTTTTGTTTAACTCATTCCAATCAAATATTTGATTTTAGGAAAATATGATATAGTTACCAAAACTCTCAAGTTATAGAATAACTTACTAAAAATTTACTCAACCAATCCTCTCTCTCTCAATCAAAATATTCTCAAAATCTTTTCCAAATCTTGGGCTTCTGGAAGCCTTGAGCTACAAGCCAAGAGAGAGAGAGCTAAACAGGTGGGGGGTGTAGGTCTAATGGGACCCATGTGAGCCTCACACCGCACTAAAGTGGGCCACCATGTGGGGGGCCCTATTCCAAACGAGCCCCCACACTTGCCAAATAATTTAACAGAAGAATTAGGAATGCACATATTTAGAGAAACAAAAACGTAGCACTCTCTAGTCACGTGATCAGATTGTCTTGAGTCGATAACCCATGGAGCAGGTTTCTAAGAGGCAAGAAGCACATAAGTACCTAAATTTGTAAGGGTGGCAGTACGAGAGGTAGAGGGAACCATAGACTGTTCTACTTGTTTAAATATATTCTTCTTTGGAAACAACAACAAGGTTACCAATGGAATCAGACTGTTGTTGGTGATCATTGAGTATTCTCAGATAAGGCCCATCACTCTCAGATGTGTAGGTAACTTGGTTTGCCCAAGCAGGCTTACCAACCTTGTCTGAACACTTATCAACCGTATGATTTGTACGGCCACAATGTGTACACTTGCAAGTTCCTCGACCCTTGCCACCATGACCTCTAGCTCCGCCTCTTCCTGAGTCATGACCATGTCCCCGACCTCTGCCTCCATCACCTGTCCCTATAACTGTATTCAATGCTGATCCATCACTACTATTTGAGTCAGAAGGAGCAGATATATTGACTCATTGAATGCACGAGTAAACATTAGCAAGAGATGAGAGTTCACTGCTTGTCAAGATTTGTCCACATACAGAATGGTATTCAAGATCAAGGCCTGATAAAAATTTAACAACACTAAATTCTTAACGCTGCCTCTTCTATAATCCACATCACCAGCTATAGGCTGATATAGATTTAGCTCTTCCCACATACCCCTGGGGGTATTACAATACTCATTCACACTCTTATTTACCTTGTTGGAATAGAAACATTTTTTCGAGAGATATTTTTATCTGATGAATATGTTTCTTTCAAAGTGTCCCAATTTTCCTTAGTTGTATCAAGAAACATCACATTACCACTTATTTGGAGCTTCATACTACACAACCAGGTCATGATTATGTAATTCTCTCATCCACTCTCCATATCTACTATCAAAATTACTAGGCTTGTCCTCAGTCAAATAGTTCAGTTTACCCCTTGCACCTAGGGATACTTTGATAGATTAAGCCCATACAACATAATTGAAATTATTTAGTTTTACAGAGGTGATTTGTATCCCCACAGTTTCTAGAAGACCAAGGATTTCAGGTTTAATTTCCATAAGCATAAAATATAAAGGAGAAGGACAACCCAGATTGGCCAATTTCAGTCACTCACACAAACCTAGTACAATGTAAAAACAATTTAAAATAGTGAGAGATACTTATCATTCAGATCCGGTCACATTCTCACACTTGAACAAATTAGGGCAACACCACATTGAACACATCTAAGCATCACCATATTACCAACATTGAAACTAGATCATGATCTCTTTTTAAATCTTGATCCGCAAGGACGATACTCTAGCACGGTATTATAGCACGTTACTGTAGCACAGTATAGTAGCAAAGCACTGTAGCCTATTATTGTAGTACGGCATTGTAACACAGTACTATAGCACGTTACTACAGTTTTATGATTAAAAAGAAAAGGAAGAAAGGGGAAGGTCATGATTCCTCTCTCAGAAAAGGAAAGGGGAAGATGAAAAGACAAAGAATTCAAGAAAGAAATGATTCAAGAATTAAAAAGGATTAGCTCTAATACCATGTCAGATAATATAGAGAGAAAAGAGAAAAAGAAAGAGAACAAGAAGAGAGAAGAGGTGAAAGAAAAATATGAGAAACATGAGAGGAAAGAGAAATACATGAGGTTCTACCCACCGTCACGCACTTCTTAGCCTTATATTTTACTGAAATTTATGATGTGGACAAAATTGCCCATACAAATATAATTAGGACACTTAGGTCTAAAACTTACACAGAGAAAGAAAACAAACATAACAACACAAACCACACAAACCCAGACTTACTTAGCCAGCAGGAGAACATGCGAACGAAGTAAAGGTTCTTCCCTCTCTATTTTACTAATCAGGGGTATGAAACCCCAACCCTAGCTATAAATAGCTTTCATACCCCTCCAATATATAAAAGAGTGAAAGTGAATGATGAAAGAACAGAACACAAGACAGACTACACAATAAAGTAAACTTCATGGTGGTAAACTGATGGTTCCAGTTGCAATCGCTACAATAAAAGGTTGGCCCTATGGCAATTGACAAAAAGAATATTTACTTGCATGAGGATACATGATAAGGATTGTGATGCTTTACCCAGGGTTCCTAGTTTACTAGAAGGAGCCTACACTTATGAAGCAAATCTAATTGAAGCAAGCTCCCAGATTACAATTGAGCTTGAAGTTATGAGGTATCACTCTCTTAGAGAATTCACACTACGGATATCTTGTGAAGAAGTGGAATATGAAGGAGCAAACAATTTTCCTTCCCTATATAGTGAATCACAAACTTATACAATGTGAGGGAAATTGAGAACCCAACTATGCCCATACATTTGATAGGAAATACTGTATATTGTACTAGTGACATTCAACGCACTTCGAAGTTTTCAATGATTCACTGAGGCACACTTTCAAGCATCAGCATAACTTTGTCTGCATAGATTCAAGGCAATCAATAGCAGTTCTATTTCCCTAGTTTTTCTTTTAAACCTGTGAATTGGAAACCACTGTTCGACAATGGCCAATCCAGTTTTTATAAAACTCAAAGAAGCATTTATTTGTCCATGAGATATAGTCCGATGGCTACCCCAGTTTTTAGAATTTTGAGTTAAAGTATTCAAATCCTAAAGGAGAGATTCCTTGCTTTTGCTTAACACAAAAATAAACAGAGACAATTAAGATTAAGATGGGAAAAAGTACAGTTTATAGAAGTTGTACAGCTTGGAGATAAGTGATGACATGTCATTCTATAATACGGATGGTTGTTTGTGGTTAGTATCTCAAAGGGCTACAAAATGATACACATATCATCATCATCATCATCCGAGCCTTCTCCCAACTAAAATGATACACATATATACAAACAAACAAACAAAAAACAAGAAAAAAGAAAACAAGGAAGGATAAGAAAAGAATGGATGACAGTAGGAAGTAACACGTTGAAATTAATGATTGACAAAGAAAAACACTTAATTAACAATTTAAATGACACCAAGTCAAGTAAGCCAATAGTAGAGTGAAATTAGAGGTATTTCGAGGCCACCTGTAGATATTCTAGCTCTGACATGCTTCTGGAAATGAGCATATAAAGTGACCTTAGACCTACAATAGAGGATAAGCAAATTGTAACGGATTAGCCCCAAGTCATATCTGTCCACTTACAAGGAACCACAAAATATACCATGAATATCCATGGAAAATTGCAGAATGTAAAAGTTAACATGTATTTCCCTCCACAATATGCCCAAGTTGAACTGATAATAAATTCTAAATGGAGTGGTTTGTATAAGGTGTCAACCTTAAACAATCCAAATAACGCGCGGCGTTAAGTTCTGCTAAAAGAAGTAGTTTTGGTGCAGGATAACATTGTGATGACCTAAAAAATGGTTTTCGTGAACTTAAAAGCTTTAAAAATGGTGCAGATTGAGTATACCTATGAATACTTTAAAATTTTGAAAATGGACGCTCCAGATAATGTGCTACAAGATGCACTATTTTCAATACTTGAAATCAATTTTTTTCATATCCATACATCTAGCGGTCAATATGATCAATTGGAGGTTTTTCTAGAGTCAGAAAAATATATTTTTGTGGGTTTTTGAGGTGCACCTTACTTCTACAGTATATGGGTGACACCTTATATAAACTTTCTCCAATTGTAAATCCAAAACAATCTCAAGATTAAAATATTGACTATTTCTACTGTTGGTGGGATTTAGAGGTGAAAAGCTTTATACTCGACTATTTCAATTGTTTTAAATGGCCGCTAATTTCAATGAATCAGCCATGAACTTACCTCACTTTAAACAGTCCAACAACAGCTAATGATTAGAATTTCAGGAGCAGTTACTTATATTTGTTGGAATCAATCTAAGTTTCGTAGTTGCTATGTTCTAGTTATGTATGCAATAATGACAATCATGTAAAATGATGGCAACTCATCGCCTTAGTACATGAGTACTTAACCTACCTGATCTCAGGGGGAGACCACAAGAAAGTAGAAAACAAGATGGAACTGCCCCATTTTGGACGGCTCTCATAGTAAACATCTTGCTCACCAAGATGTGTTCAACAAGACGTATCATCATCATCATCATCGAAGCCTTTTCCCGACTAATTGGAATCGGCTATTCAATAGGGTGTGTGATAAAGACATTATGACCAGCACAAAGAGATCGTATGCAAAGCTTGTCTCTCTCTAACCAATGTACAAAGATTCTTCTCAGATTAGTTAAGAGTAAGAAATACAAAAGCAACCAAGGAGCAAAGAGGGAGAAGGAGATAATAGTGAGCGAGAGATCAAAGGCTTCGTTAGAAAGAAATAGAGGAAGAAGAGATACTTCGAGAGAAGAAAGCTAAGAAAGGTCACGTGAGGTCAAAATCAAAGCCCCACGCACCTTTCTAAGTATTATATTAATTATGAAATTAAGTACAAAAGCGCTCTTTTCGAGAATAGATGGACAAATATGTCCTTAGGGACGTAAAATAGAATCAAAAGAAAACTAGGAGCCAATATTCACTTTCACAACACTCCTCAAGATGGTGCATACATGTCAATCATGCCTAACTTGTCTAAGATAAATAGTAGCTGAGGTTTCCCAATGGCCTTTCTTAGAATATTTGCAAACTGATCTTTTGCCTTCACATAAGGAAGACAAATTTCTCTAGTAGCAACTCTTTCTCTAATAAAATGTCCATCTACCTCTATATGCATGGTTCGATAATACTCAACCAGAATGTGAACTACAATAATGGCTGCTTTGTTATAACAATACAGAGACATTGATCCCTTTATAAGAAAACTCAGATCTCTTAATTGGATTTTTAACCAGAACAACTCACATGCTCCAAAAGCCATGGATTGATACTCTGTTTCAGCACTTGAAAGGGCTACAACTTCCTAATTTGTACTCCTCCAAGTCAGAAAGTTATCTCCAACCAATGCACAATAACCTGATGTCAATCTCTGGTCCATAGTAGAACCATCCAAAACTGCATTTGTATAAGCCTCAACTCCTAGATGCCCATGATTCTTTCATACCGCATAAAGACATTTTTTGTTGTATCATTTCCCAAAAACTGACAAACTGAGAGGATATGTGAAAGATATTAAACGTTTTCCATCACTTGGACGAAAAAATATTGGGACATTCTATTTCTTACAGCACTTGCAAATTGATCATGTTCTATATATCAAAATGGTCAATTTCATCATTGATAGTCGAAAAGAAAAATAAAAAATAGTTTTTTCAAACCAAAATAATTTTTTCTTTTCTTTAATTTTAAGTGTTTTCAACTCCCAATCTTCTTGATTCTCATCTCCATATGTAGTATTATCTTCCTGATCCCGGTATACAGTCAGCAAACGACAGTCCTATACCTGGTGACAATTTTAAATATCTAAGAATTTTTTAAGAAGCTTCAAGGTGAGTTGTAGAAGCATGCATGAATTGACTTATCACACTCATAGCATATGCAATACAAGGGCGTGTGTGAGAGAGGTATATCAATTTACCTACTAACCTTAAAAACCTATCTACATCTTTAGCTACTTCACCCCTTTTGTCATCAAGTTTGTGGTTGTATTCTGTAAGCATATCAACTGGCTTTGACCCAAGATTCCTTGTTTCTTCGAGAAATAAAAATTCCTCTCTTAGATCCTTAACTTCAAATTCCCTATCCAATAAACTCATGAGTTGTTGAATTTCCTTAGGACAATTACCTGTCACAACAATATCATTCACATAGACAACAAAGGCAATGGTGTTGACCTTGGTATGTCTCACAAATAAAGCATGATTGGAATGACTTCAAGTATACCCGAATCTTTGGACAGCACCACCAAACCTTTCAAACCAGGCTCAAGGGGATTACTTTAGTCCATAAATGGCCTTTCTCAGCCTACACACCTTTCTCTCATATTTATGAGCCGCGAATCCAAGTGGAGGAACCATGTACACTTCTTCCTGGAATTCCCCATGAAGGACTACATTCTTGACGTCTAGTTGATGTGACGGTCACTTCATGTTAGCTGCATCCTCGCCACAGAAGCTAATGTCTCCTGATCGTTTATTCCATAAATCTGAGTGAACCCCTAAGCAACTAATGGTGCCTAATATTTGTCAATTGTACCATCATCCTTATGTATCATGGTGTAAACCCATTTGCCACCAACCAGCTTTTTCCCTTTAGGAGGGTCTGCCAGTTCCCGAGTACCATACTTCATTGATACCATTATCTCCTGACACATAGCCTCTTTTCACTTGGGATGAGCTAAAGCTTCTGTAACACTGGATGGAATAGAAACAAAAGAGACATAGGACAAAAAAACATGATAGGATGGAAACATGAATTCATAAGAAAAAATGGCTAATCGGATGTGTTGTGCAACTTCATCTACCTTTGTGTAAAACAATAGGTATATCTGAATTGTCACAATGGGGTCTGCAAATATTACCTGGATCAGAGGTATACAATTGGCATGAAGGTCTGTTAGCTGTGATGATCTCCACCTTCTGTTTCCATCGAGTATAGACTTTTAATTCTCTTCCACACACTATTCTCCCATCGAAGCGAGGTGGGAAAAAAGGGAATGGACCGAAAAATGGTACATCTATTGAAACGATTTTCTTTCTTGACACCAGATTATAACATTTGTAACCATTTTGTGATATGAATAACCAAGAAAAATATATTTTATAAATTTTAGATCCCATTTAGTATGGCAGGAAAGTAGAACATGAGCAAAGCAAACATAACCAAAAACTTTAAGGGGAACAATGAATAATGGACGATCAGGACAGAAGTTTATATGGAAACGTATAGTCTAAAACATTAGATGGCATCCAATTAATAAGATAAGATGTCGCGTGCACATCTTCGGACTAGAATTACATTCATACCCAAGAGGACAGCATGATTCACTTCTAAAAGATGTCTAATTTTTCTTTTAGAAACACCTTTGTTATGATGTACAAGTGTAAGAATGATGATGTATTATTCCATGTTCATCCAAAGAGGGCTATAAGTCTCTATTAAATTTCTCTCCACCTTAAGCAGATCGAAGTACTTTAATTTTTGTATGAAATTGAGTGAGAATCATCTTATGAAAGACCTTAAAGACATTTGGAATTTTATCTTCGGTTTTTATAAGGTAGTTCTAGGTACATGAAGAATAATCATCCACAAAACAAACAAAATAGCAATAGTCAAAACAAGATGTAATAGGAGAAGGGCCCCAAATATCAGAATGAAGAATAGAAAAAGGAGCCTTGCTCTTATTAGTGCTTAGTAAATAAGAGTTTCTACAATTTTTTGACAGCTTACAAACCTCACATCGAAACTCAAAGACACTAGTAGAGATAAACAACTTAAAAACAAAACTTTTATCAGCTAAAAAGATGAATGACAGATTGGAGATGCCACTGCCAAATCTGATCTTTATTAACATGGAACTGGACTGTAGGATTGAGAGGTAGCTGTTGCCGAGTCGAGGGACCACTAGCTTCATGACCACTATCAATTATCTTAGCTAGTGTCTAATCCTGAAAATCACACAATGTGAAGAAAAGAATGTCGCGCTACAATTCAAACTCTTGGTAATGTTACTGGCATACATTAAGTTTGTAGCAAAGATGGGAACATGAAGAATTGATGAAAATGACATTTGAGAAACATCGACAATTCCTTTTCCTGCACTAGCGGAAAAAGATCCATTAGCAATCTTAACTATCCCTACCAGAACGACAAGTATAGAAAGACATACCGGTCATGTGATCTGATGCGTCAGAATCAATAATATAAGACCGTCCAGATAGAGTAAGGGATACATGATTAGCAAAAGCATGAGTACTTGAGTTTGCAAAAGATGAAGTAGAGGTTGTGGATGGGCCATCCAACTATGCATACAATCGGCAAAGACTTTCAATCTCCTCTTTAGGGATTGTTATCATCTCTTTTAGAGTAGGAACTGAAGATTGGATTGCATTTTTTACTTGGCTGATCTGTACAAGCAGTAGCAGGTTTCCTAGTGGATGAAGCCCTGTGAGAAGTAGACTGCCATGGACCATTAAATTTAGCTAGCCGAAGAACTAGTTCCCAGC